GCCGGGAAAGGAGGTGACTTCAGCCACACAGCAGGACAGAGGGCAGGCAGCATCTGCGGGGGAGAAGGTGCCGCCTGCTGCCAAGGCCCAGGATGGAGGGAAGGATGAACCTGGGAAGGAGAAAGCTCTGGCTGCGGGAGAGCCTGAGAGAGGGGAGGCAGCACCCGCAGAGGAGAAAGATTCAGCTGCTGCCGAGGTTCAGGGTGGAGGAAAGGATGAGCCCAGGGAGGAGAAGACTCCAGCCGTGGGAGAGCCCAAAGGAGAGCAGGCAGTGCCTGTGGAGGGGAAGGATTTGGCTGCAGCGGAGGCTCAAGATAGGGGGAAAGAATTGCCCATGGAAGAGAAATCTCCCGGTGGGTTAGAGGCTGAGGGTGGTGGGAGAGCAGAGCCTGTGGAGGAGAAAGGTCCAGCTGCAACAGAGGCTGAAGGAGGGAAGGCAAACCCCACAGAGGAGATAGTCTTGGCTGCAGCACAGGCTCAAGATGGAGGCAAAGAGCCTGCAAAGGAGAAAACCACGGCTGCTGCACAGGAGAAGGTCCCAGCTGCCAGAAAGCCTCAGGACGGAGGAAAAAAAGCTGTAAATGCAGAGAAAACCCTAGCTGATAAAAAAATTGTCAAGGAGAAGGCTCCAGGTACTGTAAAAGCTCAGGATGGAGAGAATAAAGTGGTAAAGGCAGAAGAATCTCAACCTGCAAAAAAGGCTCAAGATGGAGGCAAAGAGGAGCCTGCAAAGGAGAAGGCTCCAGGAGCTGCCAAGGCTCAGGATGGAGAGAAGGCAGCAGCGAAGGCAGAGAAAACCCCAGCTGCAAAAAACACTCCAGATGGAGGCAAAGAGGAGCCTGCAAAGGCAAAAAACGCAGCTCCTGTGAAGGAGAAGGCTCCAGCTGCTGCAAAGGCTCAGGGTGGAGAGGAGGCAGCAGCAAAGGCAGAGAAAACCCCAACTGCAAAGAAACCTCAGGATGGAAGCAAAAAAGATCCTGCAAAGGAGAAAGCCCTGGCTGCTGCAAAGGTGCAGGATGGAGGGCAGAAAGCTGCAAAGGCGGAGAAAAACACCATTGCCACAAAGGCTGGGGATGGAGGCAAAGAAGCGCCAGCAAAGGAGAAGGTCCCAGCAGCTGCTGTAAAGGCTCAGGACGGAGAGAAGAAAACTGTGACAGTGGAGTCCGGGGATGGAGGCAAAGAGCCCACAAAGGTGTCAGCCACGGCTGCTGTGAAGGCTCCAGGTGAAGGGGAGAAAGCAGCAGAGGTGGAGGAGACGGACCAGCAGCAGCCGAGGGACCCCGAGCCCCCACGCCCGGCTCTGCTGCAGAGCCTGAGCTGCCCAGCTGCCTGCCAAAGGTACCCGCACCCTCCCGGGCTGGGGTCTCCTCCCCTCAGATCTCGGGGTCCCTGCGGGCAGAGGTGGGCGCTGGGCTCAGGGAGCTGCTGGCTGGGTTCTGCTCAACTCCTGCTCCTGCTTCCAGGGAGGAGCAGCCCTGGGTGGATGTGATGGAGATGATCCCGGAGGAGACCACAGTTGTGGAGCCGAGAGAGGGTCCGGCAGAGCCCGTCCCTGTCCCACCAGCCCTGGGGGACCTGCAGCCCCCAGAGCCCCCCGCAGGGAGCCCTGGATCCCCACAGGAGAGGACATTGCCCTGTGCCGTGGGGCAGCCCCCGGATCCCACCGGGGCCACAGAGCAGCCTGGCCCCGAGGGGCAACCCTCCTCGATGGAGGCAGGGCCACCTCCTAGCCCCTACCTCACCCCCGATTTTGGGAAGGAAGACCCTTTTGAGATACTGGGTAAGACTGTGAAGCACCTGCCTTGTCCTTGTCCTCTGTGACTCTCTGCAGGGCAAGAACCAGGAGTCCCCACCCTGTCCTCCTGTGCCACCAGCTCACACTCTTGGCTCATCCCTTGCCCGGTGGCCTCTGAGCTCCTGTTTCACCATAAACAGGATTAAATGTGTCGCATCCCCTCCAGCCTGGCACCAGCCCTGGGGCTGCTCAGGAGGAAGAGGAGCCCGGGGAGTGACGGCCACTGCGGGCCGCCTGCCCC